CCCCAAAACCCCAAAACCCCAAAACCCCGCTATTCGTTTTGGCATAGAAATAATAAAAAAGAAGGTAAATATGAAATCCTGCTTGTGTTTAGAAAGCAGAGACTAGCTCTGGCTTGGTTAGTTAAGATTTAGCTAAAAAATGAAGAATTTGGCTGATTTCGTGCTGGGAGTAATCCCACCAGCTATTTTGATTTGTTTTCAAAGGTTTTAATTAAGTTGTCTTTTGGCTTGAGAAGATTTGTCAAAATTATTAACATAAATTTTTATCCCATTGAGATTTTGTCTGTTTTATTGGAGATTATATCAACATTCGAGACTACCTTAGCCAAGAGTTGCTGAAACTTTAATGAAGGCATAGATAGTGGTCTTACTAATTTATGAAAAAGGTGACTAAGAAAGGAAGTGATAGGTTACCGGCCTAGTTTTTCCATTTATTGCAAAGATTTTTAGGAATTCTTAATTGGGTAGCTAATAAAACTTACAACTTCACTATTTATTTTTTATTGAAGATCCACGCTCATTAAGAGAGAGAATAATTACTATATTTGTTGCCTTTGGAATAGCTGAGGAGGCCTGAAAATATTTTTCAGGAAGAAACTATGAGAATTCTTAAATTTTCTGAGTGTTTTATATTGTCTAAAAATATATAAGAAGCTTAGGTATCAAGGAGAGCCAAATTCATGCTAAACGCCCAGATGTGAGATCTAAACTATATATAGCAATAAAGTTCTCCGCAAGCAAGGATCTCATAAGATATTTGCTTTCGAATCTTGATAGGCTAGGCTAGATTAACTATTCAGCCTCAGACCCCTAAAAAGTGAGCTTTAAGCTCTTGTATTTTTCAAAGTTAGGCTTGCATTCATTCTGAGACTCATGTGGTTGGATATTTCCTAGCTTCTGAAAGGACTAAAAGCTCCATTACTAGCATCTATAGCTAATTTTCTTTAATAGAGGAATAAAGCATCCTTCCCAACTGATGGCCTTAGATTTATTTTCGTGTGTCAGCGAAGGGGATATCCAAATAAAATAGACAGCCAAATTTGTGGAGGCTTAGCAAAGTCAATGAAGTTTTGTCTGATAGCGCGTAGACTCATCCATTTGGAATCGTAGCTTATACCCTACTGTCAATTTTAGCTAGAGTTCTCAGACAAGAACAGGAGCACTCCTAATTTTTTATCCTTTGTGGGTAAGGGAATCAATCATTATTATTCCCTAGCCATCCCTCTGGTTTTTAGAAGAAATAAATTTTATCGGAGGGTCTAAACTGTCATTTAATTTGGGAGTTTAATAAAAAAATGGTTGGAATCCTACCTATTCATAGCATCTCTTTATTTACTTTCAAAAGATTTGAATCTGAGTGTTAGAGACTTCTAATAAAGTGTAGAGCTTAAGCTGAGCTCTAAATTGTTTGGGGTTACATTAGGTTATTATTTCCAAGAATATGGTTGGACCATAAATAACAAAGATATAGATGACGATAAAACCATCCCTTTACCATCTCGAAATTATGATCTGGTTGCTCCAGATATGTTTCTGCTTTCAGGCCAAGTAAGTACCCAGCCCATAACTAAACAGGACCTTAACCTACCAATTCTCTAACCTATCGTAAGCCTGTGTCTAACCTGGTAGTAAGTCTGCAACTAAGGTCGAGAACCAGGAAGGGGAAACAGGAGTGTTCACGTTTGATTTCTTATGTAAGTCTAGGCTAAATTTTCTGGATCCTCTCTTCTATTTTTAATTTTAGGCCTGTAGGTCTCCGCTGCGGCTTAAGGCTGCAAATTTTATGGTGAAGACTTGGTTTTTAGTGGAGCTGAAATTTTGAATTTTTTGTTAGGGGAGATCTGGCTTCGAGTAAAGTGTTCGGAGTGGGGGGGGGAGCCCGGTGGTGAGTAAAGGAAGGGGAGGAGAGGGGTAGGGGGCTTAGGGGAGGACGGAACGGGAGGTTTAGAGATAGATTAGCTGTGATATGTAGTGTTTAGAGGGTTATGATTGTGGAAGTATGTTATTTGAGGATTTCTTGAAAATAACGATTAAAAATGCGATTTCGCTTACTCTCTGATCAAAGTGGCTCTGGTATTAATATAATTAACTTCCTTATAGTCTGTCTTGATTTACTAGCCAAATTTTTTCTCAATGAGTCTTGAGAATGAATAGCAAAAATTTTCATTCTGTTCTTCACCAAGCCTCATTCTCTCTATTTCCTCTTGCAAAGAGATAAATTTTTAACATTTTCTCTCTAGCAAGTTACTCAACTCGCCCAAAGATAATTGAACAAGGAGTGCATTTTACTCAACAAGGAAAGTAAGCTACTCCTCTGACCCCTTTAGATACTTGAATATTTCTGAACCATTATTCGAATATGAAGACTTCTGCTCTATGGAGGCATGGATCTTCATTAGAAAGCTAGGTTATGGCACTTTTGTTAATATGAATGTTACACAGAATGTGGTAAGTTTCTGGGGTGAATTATAGACAGGTGGAAGTCCGGTTGTTCAGAATGCTAGATTTATGTTCTGGTTTAGTAAGTCCTGAAGGATCATTGAGAACTATTACCAAGTCGTTATCAGCTAGACAAAGGTTTTAATTTCCCATTTAAAAGCTGAAGAAATAGAGAGCTAGGACAGCATATGCTATGATATAAGAAAAGCTTGGTTTACTCATTTTAGCCTAGTTATAGAGTTTTAAGAGCAAATCTATAAAGATTGCTAGCAAAGAAACTATCCCAAGCGAGGGTATCCTTGATGGGGAAAATGTACAGTAGCCAAAATCGACTAACTTTTTTTGTCAACTAAAAATCCCCGAATAGCTGCTTCATAAGTTGAAAGGACAATTTCTAGAAAATCTAGTACAAATTTAGGGATTTGAGCTTACAAAGGAAGTCAAATGTGAATACTCCTGCCTCTCCTTCTTGGTTCTTGATCTGGATCGTAGACTTGCTAGAGGGTTAGCACTAGGCTTACGGTAATTCACTGAATTTGTAGGTCAGGGTTCTGCTAAGTTATGAAAGTACAGCTTACTTGCTCTGGAAACAGAAGCACATTTGGAGCAGTCATAGTATCACTCCTGTCTGATAAAGGTATGTTTTTATCATCATCTATTTCTTGGTTAAATTATGGTTCAATACTATCTCTGTAAAGGATACCTAATGTAATCCTAAACAGCTCTAGATATCATCTACAACTCTGAGCTTTACCCAGAACCTTAGAGTCCTCAGATGCAAACACTTGGTCAACCAAAGTGCCTAAGGTATGTTAAACTAAAGTAGGGTTGCAAACTTTTCTTGGCTACGTATAAAACAGTGTCTCTGAACTTAATCTATTGGTCCAAAATCTACTTGCTATATGTTATTAGAGTTCAAGATTTGCAGCTGAAATATGGATTTAAGAAGTAATTTCAGCTGAGTTTTGAACAACTGCTAGTCTAGATAGCTCACAAATGTTTTGCTAGTAGAGATTAAGGCTGACGGCTAATAGCTGATTTAGCAATGAGAGCTTAAGTAGTCCAGGATTTTGGAACCTGTGCTTTTAAAATGGTATTTTATGTGGAATGAGTGCTTTTTTAGACACTTCTGAAGCAAATCTACCTTCGCTGATGGGATTATTTGTGAGAAAATAAGCCAAATTTGGCCATTCTAAGGTTAAAGCTTTAGGTTTAGAAGGCAGAGGTAGTATCTGATTTGTAAATCTAAGCGTAGATTTCATATTTACCTTTCTTTTTATTATTTCAATGTTGTATCAAGTAGTGGGGTTTTGGGGTTTTGGGGTTTTGGGG